AAATCTTACTGTTCATTTTACTGCCGACCTTAGATCAGTTGGCTGTCCTAAACAAAATTTCAGATAAAATGTGAAAAGAAAAGGGTAGCTAGATTGCCACCCAAAGAGCAGTCAGCTGCACTTGCTAATTTCATTTCAAAGCTTATACTTTCAAATTTCATTTACTCAACACTAATGCAAATTAAATTATTTCAAACCTTTGTACTTTGTAAAAAAAAAAAAAAAAACCTTAAAACACTTTTAAAAACATATATTTTGATAATATAGAGAACATAAAATTAGTCCAATTTTTAGAGAAAGAATCCTAAAGAGCCGCCATCAATTTTTATTTAAGTATGATTGACCAACTAATGAATTTATCATTTTAAGGAGCTATTAGACTTGACTAAAGATCCTTAAAAGAATATGTTCTAGTTTACTAATTCAAACAGAATTCGAAGTTCAGTTACATATAGAAAATGTTATAACACCCCCACATGTCCATTCAAAGTACGGTACCATTTTATTTTAAATTATCCTAAACTCTTGATTTTAATGATTTTAAATTTAATATTAGAAATAATAATTAAGATTTCTCAATCAATATGGTAAAATTCTTAAAAATATTTTCTCACCTCAAGAGTATTCAAAAATTTTATTTGTTTTCTTGAAGATTTTTCATTGTCAGAAAACGTTTAATCATTTTTTTATTTTAGTTTTTTATTGAAAATATATTTAATTATTCCACCATTTGAACCAAATTAAAAATATCTTTTCACTTAAAAATTTCTTAGATAATTATTCATTTGTAATTACTAAGAATTTCATCATTGAAATTTATGTTTTTATTTTACAAGTTTTATTTTTAAAATTTTCATCATTTGGGTCAATTAAAAAAATTTTACAAGTTTTATTTCTAGATTTTCTACCATTTAGGTCTATTTAGAAAAAAACCTTTGTTAGTTTCCTAATCTTTGAAAAGAAAATAATATAACACTTATTTTTTGAAGTTTCATTTAAATTCTTTTACAATTTGAGACAAATTTAAAGAAAATTTTCACCTAGAGATTTATTAAGAAATTTATCATTTGAAATTTCTAAAAATTTCATCATTGGATAATTGTCAAATATTTTCAACCAAACTTTTAATTTTTATATTTTTTATTTGGAAAAGAATACAATTATTTTTATTGAAATTTTATCTAAATTATTCTACCATTTGGGTCAAATTTAAAAAAATTCCTCACCTAGAAATTTCTTAGAAAATTTACCACTTGAAATTTCTAAGAATCTCATCATTAGGTAATTAGTATTTCAATTTCAAAATTTTATTTATGTTTTTTTAATATTTGAAAATAAATATTAATTATTATTATTGAAAATTTATCTAAATTCTCTTATATTTGGGATAAATTTTTAAAAAAATTTCACTTAAGAATTTTATAGAAATTAACATTTTACAATTTTTAAAAATTTTATCATTGAATAATTATTATTTATTCTCAAAAAATTTATTAATGTTTTATTTTATCTTTTTTTTTTAATTTTCTTCTCTAAGTTTTTCTAAAATTTAATTATGTAAAAATGCTTTAAAAATAAAATTAAAAAAAAAAAACCAAAACAAGAACCAATTCTACTCAGCTTAGGTGTGTGGTTCGACTGCAAGAAGGAAAAATGGCTAGAATGACTCGGCTTATGGCCTAGCTCAGTTGGAGTCAACAGTTGAAACACAGGTTAAAAATGGGTCAAATGCTCGAGTCATGCCTACCGCTTGCAAAACGCGTGGATCCTAACTAAATTAAACGTAAAAAACAACGATGTTTGAATAGGGTATAAAAGCTTAAATTTTTTTCCTTCAAATTTTCCCTTTCATTTTCTCTCTCCTATCCTCTTTTCTCTTCATCTCTCTAGATCGAGAAGAATTATGGTTGAATCTTCATCAAATTTTAAAAATTTTCACTAGCAAATCACTGGAATCTGGATTTTTCATCGGAATACTATTGAAAAATTCAATCTTGTTGGAATTTTTAACCAAAATTTGGGAAACTCGTCAAAAAATTTAAACTTTGCCAAAATCTTCACTGAAAACTAAAAAAATTGCCAGAATCTAAAAATTTCAAATTATTCCAAAAAAACACTCTTCAAAGCTCACTAGATTTTTGCATATGACTTTTTTTTACTGATCTTTCTGTATTTGTGTTGCTTGACTTGGATTTGTATTTATAGGATTCTATTATAAAAACTCTAAATCAAAAAGGATTTTAATTTCACTTTCATTCCAACTTCAATTTTGATTTTAATCCAATTTCATTTCTTCTAAACCATGTTAATATCATTTTTCTTAGTCAAAATCCTTAAAATAAGTCTAGTCATGCCCACTATTCATACAGCAAGAATTGTCGGGGTTTAGCTGGATCATTTGCTTGTTGTCTTTGTCCTAATCGAAATGCCCAAATTAATTAAGTTAAACGTTTTATTTTAGGAACATATCTTTGCTTCTTTAAAGATATTGCTTTGAATAATTGAATCAACAACCCAGGACACTAACTAACAACATCTGGACTATTTATTCATGATTGATCATCAAATGTCAGCTGATCAAATTTTGAAACAAGATAAAAGGAAAGCATGTCTTATATATGCATGAGACACTTATTATGTAAGGGACCATGAATTGGAGACGACGTTTATTCTGATATCATAGTAAATTTTAAATAGACATTTAATTTAAAATTATTTGTACAATAGAAAGAGTAATCCTTATTATATTTATATGCTTAAAATGCTCTCAATTTCTGTGGATTGAGATTGATTTACTTTATCACCATTTTAATATCTTTGGTCACCATATATATATATATATATATATATATATATAATTTACAATTTATAAGAATAATGATTAAAGGTAATTAAAGTAACAAATACCAAAAAAAAAAAACTTTAAATTAATTATATTTATTTATGGTATTTGAACACTAATTACCTAGTTATAAATATTATCATAAATGAAACCATGATTTTTGAAAACATCAAAAGGAAAACACTTGCCTATAATCAAAATATTAATGCCACCGGTCTACAACTATTTGTCCTTTTGTAGTCAATATCTAATAATCCATTTGAGAAATTATTGTCCAAAAACTGTTATATATATGATCATAGATCACTACTCTTTCCAAAAAAAAAAGAAACTGTAAATCTCATTACCTAAAGAAACGTCCAAGTATCTACTTCGTGATCAACATAAAAGTTAAGGTTATTTTATGCACGAATGATATAATATTATCTCATTAATAAAAATATTTTTTGAAAAATTAATTTTGTGTATTTATTTTAGTGACTTATAAAATTTTATATTTACTCATTAATAAGATAATATTATATAGTTAAATGATAACGTATAAAATTTATACATTAATAATGTATTAAATATAAACTCATTAATTAAAATATACTTAAACTATAGTTACTTTTTTATGTAAAAAAGTAATATAAACAAAAAAGGTATAGAAGCTAAGGAATGAGGGAAAGATTTAGGAGACGCTTTTAAGGTAAAATTCGTGAAATTTTTTATTAAAAATTATTTAATAAAAATTAAAGTTGAAAATAAAAACAATAGATCAAAAGTTTTTATTATATAGATTAAGTGTGCAAATTTTGAAAAAAAATTATAAAATTTGATATATTTTTTAGATAGGTATTATTGTAAAAATTTTGACAAAATTTTTAATGTTAAATAAGTATTTATAAAATTTGAATTACAAATTATATTTTTAATGATATTTTATATATTAATTATTTTTTCATTGAACTCTATCAATTCTTTGATTTTAATTTTTGATTTTAGTTTTTATTAAATCATTTTTAATAAAAAATTTTATGAACTTCACCTTAAAATTTTATGAAAGTCTTTCCCTTCATATGAATGAAAAAAGATTGCATGAAATTGTTACTTCATGCTAGTATATGTTGTTTTCATTCAAATTATGTTGCATAATCATATTATTAAAAAAATCAATCATTTATTACAAATCACATATCTGAATCTATTTAAATAAATATACGATCAAACCCCAAAACAAGAAATTCAATCAGAAACTATAAGCAAGCTATTTATCTGGTGAAAAAATCCCGAGGGATAAGGATGAGAAGTTCAATCAGACACTTTAAGCAAGCTATTAAATCCTCTCCCTACCAAATTCCAGTCAGGTTCTTCTTAAGCTACCATACCTGTAGAGAGTGAAAATATGGTAGGTTTTTTTTTTTTTTTTTTCTCTTGCCAAAACAATCTGTCAGGTTGAATTATTTTTTGAAACTTCTATAAATGTAAACTAAAAAAAGAGAGTTTTATGTTAGGAATTTAAGGCTATTGCACCTTACTAAACTAGGATTTTTTTTCCTCTCATTTCCATTTTACATTAAATTTTGGTCTGATTAAAAAATTAGGGTTGCCAAATACTTAGACATGAAGTTCAATCATAAAATGCATAAACCGATATGGTGGGATGGCTCCCTCCACACATCCAAATCAGGCTTTAGTGTGCATATATTTTGTGCTTTGCATGGACATTCTCTAAGGTGTCTTCCTATAGTGAGTTTGTAAGAAAAAGAGAAAGAAGAAGGAGAGAGGGGAGGAAATTCCTAATCAAAGCACAACGTTTCTGACCCAGATTTCCATCTTTAACTTCATAAAACATTAAACAAAGAGAAATAAAATAGATTAATTAGAAAAGAGAAGAATCAAGACTACTAAAATTTTATAAAGCAAGGAGAATAGTCTTTAAATAATTATATATCCATTCTACACTTTGTTATATGCTAGAGATAACCTCTTGAATTTTTTCTCAGAGATTACAACAAATTTCCCCTAAATGTACAAACTAATCAATTTCTTTTTCACAAATGAATCCCATTTTCCTTAAAAAAAATTGACTAAAAATGATGGGAAAAAAATATATGTAAGGCCAAGGGGGGGTTTCTTTACCTATCCTGAGGTAATTAGTACTAATAATTAAGAATTAGGTTCTTTGAGATTGAACCATGTTTACCATGTTGATTGCAGCATCTTTCCATGGAAAATTAATGTTTAAATTCTGGGCACTCAAGAGCAACTCCCTTGCCCTATTCAAGAAATCAACACCCTCCTTTTGAATCTGCACTGTTTTGGGCCATTTGAGTAAGCTGATATAGGTTTCAAGGTCATGCACACATGAAGGATTTTGGACATTGAAGAAGTCTAAGACTAGTTCAACTCCAACATGAGCATAACAAGAGCAGCTCCATGGAAACTCATATCTCCCTCCCAAAACCGTAAAATTCTCATTGAATAACACACCTGGAAGCTTTGTAATGGGGTCATTGACATTCACTATTCTCAACACTTTCACTCCTAAGTCCTCACACCTTTGCTTGAAACTTGAGTTCCCAACTCTTGGTCCCCCGAAGGAGAAGACTGTGAGAGGTATTTGATCTTGGTCTGAATCATTTTTATTCAAACCAAGCTCTGAAATATCATATGCAAGAAGAAGAGCCAAAGCACTCCCCATACTATGACCAGCCAAAGTGATGCTCAACTCCTCGCCTTTATACTCGTTTAATAGCCTGGAAACCTCAGATAAAAGCTGTTCTCGACAACTTTCAAGCCCGAACCTACTATCAGTTTCATCTGACGTATACAAGCTCAAAAACCCAGACTCCACTTTCACTTCTGGCCTCGGATTATGCGGGTCGAGGCGTGCAGGTGTGAGTGAACTCATGAAATTGGCAATCCATTCATGGTTTGTAACCGTTCCTCGAAAAGTAATCAGCACATCTCTTCTCCCCAGCCTTTTAACAGCTTCGTCTGATGAAACTGCTACATATCCAATCCAACGCCCGCATGAAGCCCCATTTTGGATTGGGATATTAACATCAGGTGTAGCATAGATGTATTTGGTCACTTGGTAACCTGAATTCTCCATCCCAACTTCCTTTAGCATGCTCTTTTTTCCATACTTGCAATTCAAGTACCTTTTGGAGTTGGAGTCGAGATCAAAGACCTTGTAACAAGCTGCAACGAACTCTCCATATCTAATAATCTCTTTTCGGAGAAGAGGGTGCAATGGTTCAATTAGATATTCCCAGTTATTTGAACCTTGAACCTCTCTCCAGAAATGAGATAAGATAGAACAAGTTTTGATACTGACGACCATAGATGCTGGCGTTACTGCAGAGTTGTTAGCAATAACAGATTGTCTTGATGAAGAAATCCCTTCCTTTTTTGGCAAACAAACTTGCCCAAATGAGTGCAATTGAGCCTGATCCCCTGGAAATGCAACATGGTTTAGAATTAAGTTTGGCATCAAAACTTTCGACGCCATTTCAAGGAGTGAAAGAGAGAGAGACAACTCAGACACAAAGAGGGAAATCAGAGGCTGTCTAAAGTTGTGTGAGCAAAGAGGAAGGAGTTGGATATATATAGAGGAAATAGAGAGGAAGATCGGTGTGGGATTTCGAGAGAAAAGAGAGAGAGAGAGAGAGAGAGAGAGCTAATGAACGGGAAACAGTGTTTCTCCCAAGGTGAAATTGAGAGAGCAAAATTGAAAAAGAGAAGGAAAAAAAAAAAAAAAGCACGTTGGGTGATTGTTTGACTGAAATAATCATTCAAAATTTTTTTTATATTTTAACTGGTCGGTTGGGTTTCAAAGGGGCTTAAATTGTTGCGGCTGGTCAGTTTCCCTTTTCAGTACAATATAAAAAAAATACAGTTGGCTTTTATATAGTTACCAAAAAAAATCATAATTTAAATAAAAAATAATTATAGATATTAAAATTAAAATTTTATATTAATTAAATCCTTTTAAAAATAATTATATTATTTAATTGAATTAAATTTCAAATTTAATGATATTATAATTTTTTAGTTTTATAAATGAAATTAAAAAAATTATATTAACAATATATAAAAATTAACTCATTAAAAAAACCTATTATATTTATTTTTATTTTTTATTTTAAATAAATTTTAATTAATATGTATCATTGCTAATTTACTTTCTGGAGTTTAAAACCTTTGTCAACAATTAATGAAATAATTTTTAAAATTAGTAATATGCAGTATTATTTAATATGTATTTACTATAGATATAAATAAAACTTTTTCACAGGCGTTACTTTGTTTGGTTGACTTGATTGCGGATATACCGACAGTCTCAGTTGCCAGGAGCATTAACAAAAATATATTAATTTTTTATTCTTTAAACATTATTTCTTATGTAAAAAATATTATATATATATATAAAATAAAATTTGATAATAACAAAAGAGATTGCATATATTAAAATTTAATTTTTAAATTTATAAAAATATCACTTCTTAAAATATATAACTATTTAAATAAAATAAAATAAATTTCAAATTCATCGAAAATAAATTTTAAATGCATTATTTTACGAATAAATGTTATAATCAGAGAGTTTCACTTAATCCAACATTGTCAACGTTCAACTTTTGGAATGGTAGAATGTAACAATTAAGGAGAGAATTGTACACAGACAAGTTATTAGACATCGGAAAATATATATAACTTTGATTTGATCGTGATATCAAGAATTTTTCATAAAGAAATTAATTGTTAAATGAAAAAAATGGGAAGTTGAATACATACGTATAAAAGTAAATTTTGATTACGTGAAAGGAAAAAAAAGTATATGACGTCATCTATTGATGATCAACAAAACAATGGATAAGAAGATAATAATGTTAGTATTATTTTACATGGAAATTATTTTATTTATGGAATGTTTAGATTCACAAGATATGGTATATTAAAAAAATTAATTAAAAAATGGGAAATGTGTTAGTTTTAAATTCGAAAATAAACTTTTTAATTATTTAAATATTTTATTTAAATAAAATTTTAAAACATATTAAAATGTCTAAAAATTTTATTATTAGTCTAGCAAGTTTATAAAGTAAGATTTAACAATTAAATGTTTGACTTGAGTAGTTGGTATATGGTCTGATCATGTATTAAGAACAAAGTTTGAATTCTTTTTTTAATTAAAAAATCAATTCTAGAAAACTCTAAACTATTGTTTTCACCTCCTAATTAAAATTCCTCTTAAATTTAAACCAATGAAGTCTAGTGAGGTTTTACTTTAAATAAATTATAATATTAATTTGGACATATGGGGAAGATAGGGCCTATCGGTGATATTTTACTTTATTTTTATATATTTAAAATGTTAAAATTTAAAATTTGATAATGAAATTAAAAATTAAAAATTCTATCAATAAATTACATGTCCAGACTGTTAGCATTTCACACTCTTCAAAGAGCATGTTTTGGATATTTTCTATTTTTGGTAGTCAACTTTATCCCTTTAATTTTAATTTGGATTTCCCATATCATGTTCCAAGTTTCTTTCGTTTTTTCTTTAAAACCCTTGAAATATTTAATAAATATAGGTAATATATGGTCGGGAAAGAAGGGCAATTAGGGACAGAAATTAAAAAAAAAGTGACATGGGAAACCAAAAGGTTTGGAATTTGGCCGACAAATTGGCAGTTAAAAGGCTTAAAGATTTGTTGTGAAATTACACACATGACCAAAAAAAACCGGTTACTTGATTTCGACGTACACTTTGAGTTTGTCATTCAACGCGGTGAGTGACCTTTTTTTCTCTTTAGCGCATGCTCTAAACCTTTCTACTTTAGATAGATTAGACTCAGGCGAGTGGTAAGTGCTTCACCAACGGCTTCCTTTTGGGAAGCCTTCTCTTTGCTTCATTTTGTATATGGTGGCCTGTTTTTGACTCTCTTTGCTTTGCATGCCTTGCTTGCCAACAACCTTGATAAAATTTGTAAACCCCTCTTATTGAATGAAGATAAAAGGTTCCTCAAAATCTACTAGTCCGAGAAATTCGAATAGAACTGATAAAATATGACATCTAAACATTTATAGATTGTCTTTCAATTTCGAAGAATTTGTTCAACTGACAAGCAGGGACGAAGCCAGAAGCAGGTAGCGACCACGGCTTCTTTCAAAAAAATTTTGAATGTTGCTAAATGCATCCCATCCTTTTCTCTTCACATTTTATTTTTTAAAAAATATTTTGTAAATGAAATTATTTAATTACTCTTTTTTTTAAACAAGTTTTCAATGAATTTTCGAAAATTTTTAAAAGCTTCTGAAAATTTATTTTCAGAAAATTTTAAAAGCTTCCGAAAATAGATTTTCGAAAAATTTTTATTTATTTATTGTCAGTTATAAATTCTATATATTATTAGTAAATCAAATTATGCCACTACATAATAAATAAATATTAACTTTTAAAAATTTATTAATTAATGATATGATATTATCTTATTTATCTTATTAATGAGGTGGCCTATTTATTGATAATATATAAATTTATACATTAATAGTACATTAAATATAAATCCAAAAAATAATTTAGAAAAATAAAATAAACCTAGAAGGAGACTTTGGCAATTAAGAAGATAAAATCTTACTATACATATATACTCATATATACTTTTTCACTATAATATTTTTACCATTAGTCAATTTTTTTTTTCAAGTTTTTATCAAAAGTTTCAGTTAATATGGGATCGACATTTTAAAGGTTCAGGATGAGAGTGTTTCTTGCTCAAAAGAAAAGCAGTTATTCATTAATACTGATAAGCATATTAAGGATGAAAGTACCCTGTTGATAAGTATTGCTTAATGTTATTTTTGCTTTAAAAATAATATATAAAAATAATAGCCTTCTAAAAGTTTTGCTTGTAAATATTAATAAACAAAGGTAAAATTAAGTTTAAAAAACAAGGATTAGAAAATTATATAATCAATCAAATATGTTTCTATAAGTACAATTATCCAAAGAGCTAAACAAGCAATTAACTAACACACATGTTCATAAATCTAACATGTAATTGGATATAAATTTATCGGATAGATTACGTTATAAAATTGAAGTAAACTTTCAAAATTACATATAATATTTTCATTAATGGTCGATATTGTTATATTATTTTCAATAATATTTCATAACAAAATAGAACAGTATGTAGTACAATATATCAAATTAGTCCTCGACCTTATGATATCTAATTCTTTTTTCTTGTTTCACATAGGCTAAATGCTTATATTATGATCTAATCTTTTATCACATTCTTCACTCCAAGATTTAGCATTTTTTTCAAATTTGGGCACAACCTTTTGATTTTACCAATATAAAAAAAAATGATGAAAAGCCTTTGTCATGATTATAATCAATAGAATAGAACTAATTATAGATGCAAATTTATATTTGCTACGCCTAAATTAACTGGTTAATGGTCAATTTGATTAAAATTTGGTCAACTTGGTCAGTCTTAGGGTCGCCTAAATAAGTTATGTTTAGATAGTCACGTTATCAACTCCAGAGAAATAGCTTACCTTTCACCAAAAGAAAGATTCGCCAAGGTCTCATGGAAATCCAATTAAAATAGTTATTTTAGAATTGATTACTTGACATTTAATTTGTCTGAAATTATTAAATATGATTTATACCAATTTAAGATCATTAAATGTGACTAATAGCTACCCAAATGAATTTTTTTTTAATTTCACGTAAATATCTTATCAACTATTCACTATCTCAATCAAATTACCACTTTTTGGCCTCACACATAAGGTAATTGGAAGACTACCCATATAACCATTACACTCCAAGCCTTTTCCTCCATGGAAAACTTCCACTACACACTTCATCCTTCCCAACTTCTTTCCTTCCTTCCCTCCTTACCTCGGGACTGATTTGAGTGTCAGAGCACGTCTAGAGTAACAACTCTAATGATCCCTAACTGTGTTTTCTGGTTGCAGATCACAGTCATATTTCTGTTCTACCTCATCTTTTTCCTTCTAGTTATGACAACCCAAAAACACCGTCAACAATATTAATTAAGGATGACATTGAATTTTTTAACTCTTCAAATGAAATTACGAGATTATCACATTTTTTATTTTTAAAAATTTTTTATTATATTTTAAAAAGTATGTATCATTCTTATAATCTTGACAATAAAATCATCGATGAACGAGAAAATTTTTTATTTTGTAATTAAATTTTAAAATAACATTTAGCCTTAGTAACGATGAAAGAAAGGTCATAGCATTTGGCTGACAAATTTTGTCAGGTCCCATGCAAAGATCGTGTCCCCAGCCCGGAGCCTGGCTCACTACACATTGCGATTCTAGCCATTCTTGCCAAGAAAATAAAAAGTAAAAAAAAAAAGAGAAAAGGAATTATGAAAAGGAAAATTGAAGAATTTTCTTTGGCCGTCCAATTCAACTACATATGAATAACGAATTCCACTGTCTTTTTCTTGTTCAAAACATTGAATAATAATGGTATGCTCATGGAAAATATGAAAAGAAAATTTGATCATGTACAAATATTTCTTTTTATAGACTTTTCATTTTTTGGAATTTGATTTCTCCCCATTGAT